TCACTTATACCGCCATGTATTACTATGAGATCGTTTTGATCTTTTCAAAAACAATGATAGTTTAGGTAATATGAAATATACGCATATCAATATAATTATGTTCAGGTAAAAGAAGTACTGTTATACCTAAAATTGCTGAGTGAGCATAGCGATTGCTTACGTTTGCACCTCCAACAGTCTGATAATGAAATATGAAAATTTGAAAATATTTAATTGATTTCACTTCATGAAACATACATACCGTTAAATACCACATTGAGGATTGAGTATCGTACACTGGAATCTATAAAATATTTATTTATTACTTCATTTATAAATATTTTATATGAATTTTAAATAAATTTGAGAAATCTTACCTGACTTATATTCACAAGGCGAAAAGGTCGACTATCGTAGCTATTCTCTCTTCCACCAATATAGATGATCAAATTTGTGTAAAGGATTGCACTATAACCCTCACGTGGTGAAGGGGCATCGATAGTAGAACCAATCGACCAAGATAATTGTGCAGTATCCAAAATGTTCAAAGTATTATAACGAGTCACACTTTCTGTTGGAGATCCTGTAGTAGTATAATCGGATTTTCCACCAAAATAATAAATTTTACCGGTATTATCGGAAACAGCTTGAACCTCTCGTCGCCTATTTGGTCCCGTACCATTGATCACCGGTAGCTTCCATTGTTGAGATTTGGTATCGAATGCATAAATTATGTCTGTAACTAAGGCATTTTGATTAATGACATACATAAAACCGCCAATTAGATAAATAGTTGATTTATCAGATTTTATTCCAAAGCCAACCGATGATGTCGACCATGAACTTCTCACTGGAACATTCTTAGAAGCTGTAAGATCCGTCCATGATGGAGATTCTATGTTGAAGGAACTTGAAACATCAAGGTAAAATAATTCATCATAAATATGGAAAAGCTCTTGTCCTTGATTTATTTCAGAGATTTGTCCACCGAAAAAGTAAAGTTTATTATTAACTAAAGTGGCACTATGTGCATATCGAGCTTCTGGAACAAACGATTCAACGTTTTCAAGATAATGAAAACTAAAGAAAAGAATCACAAAACCTGTTAAATAGAGTTTGTGAATACTGTAAATGTTGTGATTAAACATGCTAAAATGGTTCGGTTTGTAAAATGCTCAAAGTTTATAGTATTCAACATTGTAAAGACAATATTTATTCAAACTATACAGTCATTCTTTTTTTGTAAAATAGGTCTGAATATATTGGGAATTTGAAACAAGGGAGGCTGGTTAGGCCTACGTACGTACCAATAATTTTTGAATAATTTTTCATTCTTAAGAATCTTTCATGTTACTTTAAATCTCTTGCCAAACGAAGTTAAAGCTTTTTAACGACTTAGTTGGGGAAGTACCGGCACTCGGGATTTGTTCCAGAAGCATGTTCCCTTCTTTGGTAATAAAACAAAAGTGTCACTAGAAGAATAATGTCATACACTGCATTAACTTTATTATACTATTATAAATATAGAATAAACTTCCGTTCACATGAAATTGAATTACTTCTATGTGATTGGCTAGAGGTTGTACCTATCCGGAATTAACAGTTAATACTAAAACCAAAACTATGCTGCTCACTTTATCGACAATATTTCACTTAGCCGACGTCAAAGGCTATCTGGTATTATTTGTACGTACGTACTTACGTATGTTTCTGGTATCAGGTATATATTTTTGTAAATTGCCACTTGGCGTGAATGAGCTGTCGGTGAAATGTTTGTTAGTGAAGAAAACAAGGTATACAGCTGCAGTATAACGGTATGACGATAACATTGCATTTAATTCACACCTAGAATAGTACTCTATATTAAGATTTTTTAATACCATCATTCACAAATCATGCATCTACAAGTTAAATAAACGCAAATAAGCAAAATAAATGAGAGATAAGGTAATGCAAATGATCGTTATGCTTAAACTAAAATCAAGTAAGAATTAAATGAGAAATGAATAAGCTTAAATACATCTATTTATGGATTTCAGAATAGATTATTAAATGCGAATTATATAATGGAGATTTCAGAATTAAGAAAATGAGTGGGGTTTAAAAAATCCTATCGTTATCAAATTCTGAATCATGTTAGACAATCTTTATAATGATACGGAAAATACTAGATTTCCATGCTCATCGATGATTCCTATTACTTAATTCCGCCCGACATTATGAACTCTGGCCTAAATTATACTGTTACTATCATATGATCTTAAGCCAGTCGACCATATTACGTCGCTGGCTTAGCTGGCTAAGCCGACTTATAAGCGACTGCCCTTAGCCGGTGTTACGCTC